CCTCGAGTTAAACAAAGGTGTTACATCAATACCACGTGCTCGAGCCATGCCTCTGGTGGCCTTGACCCTCGAGTTAAACAAAGGTGTTACATCAATACCACGTGCTCGAGCCATGCCTCTGGTGGCCTTGACCATCGAGTTAAACAAAGGGGTTACATCAATACCACGTGCTCGAGCCATGCCTCTGGTGGCCTTGACCCTCGAGTTAAACAAAGGTGTTGCACCAAAACCACGTGCTCGAGCCATGCCTCTGGTGGCCTTGACCCTCGAGTTAAACAAAGGTGTTACATCAATACCACGTGCTCGAGCCATGCCTCTGGTGGCCTTGACCCTCGAGTTAAACAAAGGTGTTACATCAATACCACGTGCTCGAGCCATGCCTCTGGTGGCCTTGTCCCTCGAGTTAAACAAAGGTGTTACATCAATACCACGTGCTCGAGCCATGCCTCTGGTGGCCTTGACCCTCGAGTTAAACAAAGGTGTTACATCAATACCACGTGCTCGAGCCATGCCTCTGGTGGCCTTGTCCCTCGAGTTAAACAAAGGTGTTACATCAATACCACGTGCTCGAGCCATGCCTCTGGTTGCCTTGTCCCTCGAGTTAAACAAAGGTGTTACATCAATACCACGTGCTCGAGCCATGCCTCTGGTGGCCTTGTCCATCGGTGGCTTGGACATCGGCCGTTCTTGGATGTTGGTCGAGACTCCGTGCTTCGCGTCTTTTGCCAGGCCCACTGTCTCGCGGTTTCTCTGGTCAGCTTACACCACTACCATGGGCGCCCGCAGAAAACTTTCTAGGGGGGGGGGCAAAAAAATCGATTAACTTTCAAATTTTTTTTAGTAATGTTTTAATGAAGACACATGGATCGATCTCAATGGAAGGATATGGTGAAGCAGACCAGAGCCCCCCACCCCCCTCCCCTGTGGGCTGGTGTGCCATTGATGATGATAATGATGGCAACTTCGCCATCTCTCTCCTCCTATTTCCAGAACATCCCATCGAATGTCCCTCTTCTTCTTCATTTCTATATCTTAATCTCATTATGTTTTCTTCTTATGGTTTCTTGTAATATTAAATATTTGGTCTGCACTTTAATCGTGTCTCCCTAGTCTTATAATGTTTTCCTACAATATCATTTCCCTTTTTCTATCTTATTCCGTCTCTCTCCCTCTTTCTCTCCACGCCTTAGGGTATGAACTGAGTGCATTCGTTTTCCTCTCCGCTTCGTGATGGTCCCAGCTTGACCTTTGCTCTCAGTTGCCGAATCACCGGAAGAGTCTCATATTTCAATCTAGAAAACGGAGTGCACCCCTCTCGCGTTCCTCTCCTTTTTTTGCCGCTCCCATTTGCTGAATCGAACCCGAATGTTTTAACTCGCAACTAAAATTTCTCCCAATTTACTCTCAGCAAGTGATTAGACCAGCCGCAAAAATGTCCATCAACACTTGTTTTGCTGTAAATTTATAGTGTCAATCTATCATCCATCTTTCAACCCACCCGTCGGCCTGTCTGTCTACCTGCCCTAAATAATGTTTTTTTCATTTGTCATCGTCAATGTGCCACTTACCGTAGAGTTATCACAAGTCTTTCTTTTGAAGACAAAGGTTTTCGAAAATTCGTTGTTCTTTTCTCAATATGAGGTCCAATGTGATCAAGAAGGATTTGAAAAGTTTCAGGGCGCATCCGAATATAGGAAACACATTTTTCTTCATCTCTTAAAACTTCATCCAGAAAATGATGATATTCTCCCAAATCACCTCTTCGTTTAACAATTCTGTGTGTCCAGTAACGTTTTGGTGTTCGACGTTTCCTTTTCATCCAAAACAGTAAGAGCAATTGCAAAGCATTTGACCGTGTGAGTCATAGTTCGCTTCTACACAAACTCCAGAGATATGGGATTCAAGGCACCACTAAAATGCTGGTCACCATTGGAGAAACGACGACGACAATCCAAGCTCTCCATGGTGTACAAGATAAATAATGGGCTGGTCCACTGTTCCAGTATTAAACAGAAACTCGTCCCTCTCCCCTATAGACACCAACGAGGCCATGACAGGCAATTCAGGCTCCTACCAGCAAGAAGCCAGTATAGGAGCTGCTCATTCCTGCCCAAGACAATCAGGGACTGGAACAATCTTTCAAAAGGAACGGTTGAGGCGACAACACTAGACACATTTGTGTCTATTGTCTCAAGCCTTCAAACCCCTAGTGCATGATTTCCTCATCAACACCAGTAACAGAAACATTGCAAATCCCATCTACATGCATAGGAGCCAAAATGATCAATAAATTGATAGTGGGCCCTTAGGATATAGAAGAAGAAGAAGCCTCCAATATTGTTGCACCTAGTCGAACCAAACTGAGCAAAATGGCACAATGTGTCGCCAGTGACGATACAAAAATGTAACACATTCGTTTCTCTTCCATTTTCTTGCCGATCGTCAAAATCGAGACGAAAGCGAAAGGAGAGGAAAACGAATGCACTCAGTTCACACCCTTACTCCTGTTCTCATTGTTTATGGTTGAGGTGATATCGTGAACCCCAAACCCCTCCCACAACTACAATATTTATTTATTTTTTTTTACATGTAAAATGTCATTATTAATAAATGCAAGACATTTTATATTTAGAAGAAAGGTAAGATTTATTTTATTTCACATGTAGCTGGTTCCCGCATTCAAATCTGTTAAGTACTTAACAACAATAACTTGTACACATACACAAGTTACAAGAGTTATATCTAAACATATCTTGTACACATACACATGTTACAAGAGTAATGTCTAAACATATATTGTACACATACAAAAGTTACAAGAGTTATATCTAAACATATCTTGTACACATACAAAAGTTACAAGAGTTATATCTAAACATATCTTGTACACACACACGTTACAAGAGTTATATCTAAACATTATCTTGTACACATACACACGTTACAAGAGTTATATCTAAACATAGCTTGTACACATACACACGTTACAGTAGTTATATCTAAACATAGCTTGTACACATACACACTTACAAGAGTTATATCTAAATTCAACCACATATATACATTATAATCTTAAAGTTGTGTTCATGTATATCCTCAGAAAATATATGTGATAGATTATCAGTCCTGTTTACTCTTACGATTTTGGCGTACAATGTACGATTTTAAGATACATACATTATGTATACTGTATGTTTATTTTTGACTATTAAGATAATGTACTGAACGATTTTGTGATGATATTGTACGATTTTAAGAGTTTAAGGGTAAACAGGTCTGGATTATGATCCATTCAGACAACAGATAAAGTCATACATTTTCTCTGCATTGTGTGAAGACGTTGTTGTCCTGAGAAGAATTCGACAGTAATCGTTGACTTTATGAAGCCAGAATTTGTACCCACAGAATATATAATGGCAGCATGCAAACCAACAAAATATATGCTAACAGAATACCCACAGAATACATACCGACTTCATGTAGGCCTATACCGACAAAATGTATACTAACACTCACTAACAGGATGTGTACCACAGAATATATACCAACATCAGGGTATACCAACAAAATGTATACTAACAGAATGTGTACCCACAGAATAAGTACCAACAAAATTTATACTAACAGAATGTGTAGCCACAGAACAAGTACCAACAAAATGTATACTAACAGAATTTGTACCCACAGGATGCATACCGGGTAAATGTATACTAACAGAATGTGTACCACAGGATGCATACCAGCTAAATGTATACCAACAGGATGTGTACCGGCAGAATGTATATACTTACAGAATGTGAACTATTGGGAAAGTATATGGACAGGAGTATACTGACATAAATATTAACCAACAAAATGTATACCAACAGATCTCTCGAAATTTATTTATTTATTATTCATTCATTTTTCGAAAGATAAAAAAAAATGTTTGTTTTTTTACAATAACCCAAGCTGGAAAAATAACTGACATACATTCATAACAATAACTTTATAATTCATTTGACTGTGTTATAGAAACCGGTTTTTGAGCATGTGACATTGCTCAGGTTTTTTTTAGCATTTCATCGCTGGTGACATCATGGCCCTAAAGAATGTGTATGTCTGTGTGTGGTGGATTGGGGGGGGGGTCGTCTCTCATGTGTGTTCACACAACAGTTTTGGATAGTCTCCAATCAAACTGTATGAACTATGAACCGAATCACCACCCCTGGAAGAAGACAAAGAGGGCACAATGCGGCCATGCTGAGGAAGAACAAGTACCCCAGGTCAGTGTCAGCTTCAGTGAGGTCCAGCTTGACCTTGGCCGCCCAGGTACTCAGGCAGATTACGATGAAGACAGCTGTCGGGAGAAGAAAGGGGTGCAGGTTAATAGCATCTTCGTTACCTGTCTATCAAACTACACAGTACCTGTCTGCCTATCAAACTACACAGTACCTGTCTGTCTATCAAACTACACTGTACCTGTTTGTCTATCAAACTACACTGTACCTGTCTGTCTATCCAACTACACTGTACCTGTCTATCAAACTACACAGTACCTGTCTGGCTATCAAACTACACAGTACCTGTCTGTCTATCAAACTACACTGTACCTGTTTGTCTATCAAACTACACTGTACCTGTCTGTCTATCAAACTACACTGTACCTGTCTATCAAACTACACTGTACCTGTCTATCAAACTACACAGTACCTGTCTGTCTATCAATCAAACTACACAGTACCTGTCTATCAAACTACACAGTACCTGTCTGTCTATCAATCAAACTACACAGTACCTGTCTATCAAACTACACAGTACCTGTAAGTCTATTAAACTACACAGTTCCATGTTTGCATCAACCTTAAAAAAACAAAAAGTCTGCCTAGGTTTTAAATGTGTTGGAGTCAGTCTGTCATTTTTATTTTATGTTCGTCTAGCATGTCAGTGCCATCCTGAATGTCTTTGTCAGGCTGAATGTCATTATTATCCATAAAGTCATTGTCATCAAAATGTCAATGTCAGGTAGAATGTCATTGTTATCCAGAATGTCATTGTCATCTAGATTGTCATTGTCATCCATAATTTCATTGTCATCTAGAATGCCTACATCACCCAGAATGCCATCCTGAATTTCATAGTTATCTAATCTAGTATGTTATTGAAATTCAGAATAATATGGTCATCTAATCTAGAATGTCATTGTCATTTAGTGTGCCCTTGTCATTAAGTATGACATTGTCATCTAGCATGTCATTGTGATTCCCAATGGTCCTCTAATCTAGTATATCATTTTCACCTAGTATGTCATTGTGTTTCCCAATGGTCCTCTAATCTAGTATATCATTTTCACCTAGTATGTCATTGTGATTTAGAATATTATGGTCGCCTAATCTGGTATGTTTTTGTCAGCTAGTAAATGATTGTCATTTCAAATGGTATGGTTATCTATTTACTAACATGTAATTACATTGACAACTTCTTACCGCCAGCGAATCCCAAAAATTAAGGCCATGACATGAAGTATTTTATGAGGGGGCCTCGTGTTCAGCATGGGCAGAACCAGAAACAAGAGCGCTGACACGAAGACGGCTCCGCTGGCTGTCACACCCAAAATAGCAAAAGCTTTGCATACTTTGAAAACATCTGAGGAAAAGGTTCATATATAATATATTTTTAAAAATAATGGTGTGAAAAATAGTTTAACCCACAACAAAAATTTAAGTATTAGTCATATGGGATTTTAAAAGCGTTTTGAAAAAAATATGTAGGTGTAACTGTGGGTATGTAGGTATGCATGTGGGTATTTTTAATTTAAATATGGCTTTTATAAGTTTTTAAAAAAAAATCATTGAGAAGAAATTAGACAAATAAATAAAAATAAAGTTACTAAATATTTTTCTTTGAAAGTTACTAAAAATTTCGGTATTATATGGGATTTTAGCGATTTTTTTACAACGTAACAACGACTCGCAAAAACGTAAATTACAGAAAGAAATACAGCAAACGCCAAACTACAGCATCTTGAACGCGCACCTGGGTTTGTCTTATGTGCATAGGTCCAGCTGTATCTTATACTTCATGCACCAAAAGAAACAGCACTGAAACTGTCGCTTCTTGAACACGTACGAGTGCTTGTCAACGGTGCAGATCTCATGCCGCCCCACGTTTCCTGAGGTGGCAAGGAAGTTCTGTTGGGCAGTTGTTGTCGTTGTTGGAAATGCATGTCTGACGGAGGGGAAAAATAAGAATTTTTATTTATATTAAACTAGTACAGTGGTCGGCAAGTCGTGGCTCTTAAGCGACCTGAGTGCAGCTCGACCATTTGGCCACAAATCGGTTTTGACTCCGAAAAAAATGGTTCTTGAAAAGAAATTGGCGCTCTAAAAAAACTTTAATCGTCCAGCTGTTGATTTTTGGCTATTTTGACTAATGAGTTTGCCGACCACTGCTCTAGACCAAACTTGAGGAAATATGTTTAAAAAAACTGGAGGGTTTTGAACTCATATCATTCACCACTGTTTGTGCCATATTTCATTTTTGCTATACGCCATATCTCTTACATTTTTCAACCAATCTTAATGGGACAACTTTAACATTTTTAACTTTACTTTTTATCTAAATAATTATTTGGTCATTTTGTACATGTACTTTTAAAAAATATATGTTATAAGTTTCTTGAAATTTCTATAAGGGGCGTCATTTCAGGGTTTTTTTTCTGTGGGGGGGGAAGGGGGCAAAACCAAAACTTGGTCGGCTCGTTGTTTATTACCGGACGTTCACAGTACATAACACTTTAAATAAAATATGCAAATTCGGGGGAGGGGGCAGACACCACACCCTGCCCTACCAACATGACGTCCCTGGTTTCTAGAGGGTTAAAGGGTTTAAAGATTATATTAGTATATCAGTGTCGTATTTATGTCTTTAAAAGTCTTTGGGGCTGTCCTCAAATATTATTAAATTAGATTTAACTCTTTCCATGCCAGGGGGTTTTCCACATTCGTGCCAGACCAGTATTCGGCCAATGGAAATTTTTTAGGGTGCTCCTATCTATTAATTAATTTTTAATACATTTCTTTTAGCAAGATAGCTGTATTTCATATCAAATTAAAGGAAATTAGACAGAGAATAATAATATGTAAAATATAAAACAATATAACAACAATAAGTTAAATTTTTTAGGTCAAATTGTGAGATAAAATTTTTTATGTTTTTAAAATTGCACACCAAATCTGAACTTATCAGACTACCATACGGTCTGTGTAGCTGATATCCTATTCTGCTTCAATCCCCAAAAAGTATATCTACTTCTACTTCCATGGGCCCACGTTCTGGAACCAGCTCCCCTTCCATATCCGTCATTGTGAAACCTCGTCCATTTTCAAAAAGTCCCTTAAAACTCATCTGTTTAGGTCCGCCTATGACCTGTGATGCACCCTCCTTGCCCTACCTCATTTTCTGTTTCGGGTTGATCCTGAAGTATAGGCCAAAACGTGTCAAAGTGTTATATAGCCATTTTCATTGTTTCTATAGTATAGTAGTTACTATCCTAGTGTCTCATTTTTTATTTTACTTAGTTTACATGTTTTTAATAATTGTAAAGCGCTTAGAGCTTTATGGTAAGCGCTATATAAAAATGCCTAAATAAATAAATATCCATTTTTGATCATAATGCATTTTACATTAGGAAAATATTCCAATTTTTTACAGAGTTATACCCATTTTTGTAACGTTAGGAGTATTCTTATCTGAATCCTCACTGTTGCCATAGCAACAAAGTGGTTTTGAAAAAAAAATCATAACTTTTGAACTACTTGAGCTAGAAAGTTGATCTGTGTGTTTTTTTAATCCATTCTCTAGGCTCTATACATTCGTGGTATTTTTATATTTTTAAAAATGTTTTGAAATTTTTATGAAAGTGCCAACATTCACCACTATTACTATTACTATCACCATTCTATTACTATTTCCATTTGGCATTTACCGACCCATCAGAATGCTGAAAATCATCATTAGGAATCAGATTCAAATGATTCATGGTTATGGTCTGTTGTTTCAGCATCAATAATTAGCAATAAAAGTTATATTGTTTGCAAAATTGACTACCTATGTGGTCTAGCAACAGCTGACACGCTTGGAGTGGGCGTGGCCATGGCTTTGTTTACAAAAGGTTCAACACAAATTGAACTATTTTTAGAAAAAACACATGCAAACATGCCCTACTTCTTAAAAAAGG